AAATTCGAACCGAACTCGAACCAGACTTTTAATTAGGTTCGAATTTTCGAACCAGACTTTTTGTCAGGTTCGAGTCTGGTTCAAGCTCGAACCGAACCAGACTCGAACTGAACCAGACTTTTTTTCGGAACCCTAATTTTTAGTATATATATATTCTTTGAAAATAGAGAATATATATTGCTATACAAATATCTGAAAATATTAAGATTATTATAGATTAATTGATATAGAATGCTAAAAAAATATTAGTTAATTAGATATTAATTCTGAATTAAATATTAATATTGAATATCAGAAAATAATTGAAATTGATAAAAAAGAAAGAAGTTAAATATATTGCTATATAATCAAAAAAGTTTTATAATAAAAAAAATTTAAAAATATAACTATATAGTAAAAAAAGATTAATAATCAAAAAAAGAAATTAAAATTATAATTGTATAATAAAAAATAATTAAGAATAAAAAAAAAGTTAAAAATAAATTATATAATAAAAAATTGGTAATTAAAAAAAATATAATCATGTAATAAAAAAATTAATAACTAAAGAAAAAAATTGAAATCATAATTATATAATAAAAAATTATTGATAATAAAAAAGAGAAATTGAAAGTATGATTATATAATAAAAAAAAGATTAATAATCAAAAAAGAAGTTAAAAGTATAATCATATAATATGAGAAAGATTAATAATTAAAAAAAGAAGTTAGAATTATAATTATATAATAAGAGAAAGATTGATAATCAATGAAAAAAGTTAGAATCATGATCATATAATAAAAAAAGATTAATAATAAAAGAGAAAATTAGAATTGTAATCATACAATAAAAAAAGATTGGTAATACAAAAGAAAAATTAGAAACATAATTACATAATGAAAAAAAGATTAATAATACAAAAGAAAAGTTAGAAATATAATTATATAATAAAAGAAAGTTTCTCTTTACTTTCATATACATATTGAAATAAAACCAAACTCATCCAATTCAATAAAGTAATTTCACAAACTGAATATCTTTGCATTTTTTTTAGTGAGATGCAAGGTATTTGGAATAAAATTGTTATTTAAAATAGTGAAAAAGTATTTTATAAATATTATAGAAAAGAATATTTTTATACTTATCTTTATAGATCTTAATAGTTTTTTATTCAAACACATAAAATACTTTCCAATAATTGTGAAGATACTCACAGTTAAGAGTTATGATTTTCTTTAAATTAGCAAATGCTAGAATTTTTTAAATGAAAACAAATCACAGTTCTGGATCATTAGCATATTTGTATGATCTGATTTGCTGTTTCATTATGTGATCATGTGTCTTCATGTTCTCAACTTCTTTTTTTCATTATGTATTCTATTATACATGATCATATTATTAATCTTTCTTTCATTAAGAGAGATGGGAAGAGAGGAAAGGAAGAGACAAATTTTTATTGAATAAAGAATAAAGAAAGAAAGAAGAAAAAAGCTAAAAAATGTGAAATATATAATAAATTTCAATAATTTACAGTGCTTCATATATAATGAGAAAATATGTCTTTTTTTATTTTTACATTATAAAAACTGCTTGAAAATATATAAAAATTTATTTCTATTATTCTCAAATATTTGATCTTAATTTTGATATAATGCTATAATTTAATTAAAAAATTTTATTTTTGGCTTTTTTAATATTTTAAGCTACTAGGTTGTCTTAAGAAAACTTGTTTGCAATATATCAAAGTATATATATTTAAATTTTATGTTTTCGATCAATTTTCATGACGTAATAAAAAAACTACCATTTAGATTAATTGTCTTTGTTTCATTTAAAGTGTACTATCAGGATTCAATATCGATCATTGTTATTTTAATTTACGTACTGATTATTAACTAACGCTAACGCTAAGTAAAGAATTATCCTTATATTTACATGTTTTGCAAAATTTAGTAAATATATGTGTCGGAAGTTGAGTTTCAGATGTTTGTATGTAATATTGAATTTCTAATCATTGACGGCCACTGTACATGTACTTTTTTTCCAAATTGTTTATAACGATAACGATGATTTTTTAATGGGTATTCTGACCGTAGCGGTAGTTGTTTGTCTTAGTGTTAGTCATAAATTATTGCTCTCTTCTCAACATCAGAGAAAAAAATGACACCCAACTTGTTATTGACTTCACACTTAAACAGACTATTTTCTGTTAAAGATTTAGAATGGTGTTCAAGATAAATTTGGATATACTCAAACAAATTGCATAACTCTTACAAAGCTTCACAAATTTTGCACAGGCGTCACATGTCAAAATTCAGCTGCTATTTCTCAATCAACTGATTTTACCAAGTTACAAGAATCAGCTCTGGTATGTTTATTCAAACGTGACGACCTAAATTTGAACGAAATTAACCTTTGGGAAACAGGTGCTTGAATGGGGAATCTCTCAATCTGATACAGGCGAAATTGATCTAACGATTCCAGGAGAAAAAATGGGCACATGACGACTCGAATCTACGCTCAAAAATCGTTTACCATTGATTCGTTTCTTCTATATCAATTCGGTTGATTTTATAACAAGTTAAGACAAAATTCCCGCGCACAATAATTGTCTTTAAATTTTTTGCTTATTATATTAACCGTGAATACGCGTCAAGGTTGAAATTTCCGGGATTGTCACTCCTAAAGATGGTTTCCGGTCCCACACGTCCTACACGGTCTTGTTATGATCAGTCTTAAACGTGGTCTCAAATTTGTGTATGACCAAAGACTGTCGGTCTTTACATATCAGTAGCTTATATAATTTCATTATTAGATTATTAAAACGAATTACGTTTAGAACAATCGCTACTGATGATCATACTAAATAGGTCTTTTTCAGTCTTTTTTTCTCATAGTCACAAGGACTAAAGGACTGCAGTCCTACACAAAGAATGACCAATCTGTCTTTTATCAAGACTGGATCGCAAAGACTACAGTTTTTAGGACTGGTAACCACACCTAATGTTTCAGGCGAATGTTTCGCCCAGTGAACTTTCATCCGAAACCCTAATTTAGAAAAAATTTTGTATATGAAATCGGGCGAAACTAGTTTCGCCCGAAACACTATTGTCAGACACATTTTTCAAATGACTGGTCATAGCGATATCAATATGTCATAATAAAATTGAGGTCAAAGAAAGATTCTATTTTGGGTAGATTGACTTTTTAGGTTAAATAACAAAAAAGACACAGTCGGAAAAATACATGTATTTCGAACCCCTGTATATAGCATATAAATAAGAAATGTAACAAAAAAAGCAGTAGCAAAATTAGCGCAATGATCGTCATATCTTATTGGTGGCAGAATTAGCGCAATGATCGCCATATCTTATTGGTGGCAGAATTAGCGCAAGTGATCACCATATCTTATTGTTAATAGTGATAGTAGTAAAAATGGTCTATATCGAGTTTATTTTATTCATTATACACTTTAGCATAAATGGCTATTTATAGGCTAACATAAAAATATAAAAGGAGGAGGAGGTATCTCTCAACTACTTCAAATTCAATAAAAATCTCTTACAAAAAAGAAAGGCTTTTAAACAAAACTAAATCCTCAAACTATCTTCTCGAACTTTTTTACCTCTCACAATCTAATAAAAAATGGACCACGGATGCCAATGTGGTAATAGCTGCCAATGTGAGGATAACTGTCAATGCGCAAAAACCACTACCACTGTGAAAGAAACAACAGCTCAGCAGCATGTGTATGTATTTTTGTTTATTAAATATATATATCGATATCAGTTACTCTAGCCAGCATTCTTCATATGACTTTCTTTTCTTTATTTTTCTCTAGTTGCAAATGTGACGGCAAATGTGGCGACAAATGTGATTGTGGTAATAAATGTAGTTGCACTGCTAGTGGAAACTGTCAATGCGGGTCACATTAATTTATACTATCAAAAAATTTATACTTCCTCGTAGCGTTATTATAATATATCCAAGTTGTATAGCATAATAACAAATACATGTAATAAACGTTAATTCCTAGCGCAGTTTAAATCATGAGTTATGGATTAAATAAAAGTTATTGTAATCAATAAAACACGAATTTATTTGCTCAAATAATATACGTGTCGCGCCACAACTAAAGAATCTTGATACACATCAATATTAAAAATGGCAAAGACTAAGAAAGCGGCACAAGGCTCGTCTGGTTAATAACCACCACATATATTATATTAATAAGTTTATGCGTTGTCAGTTGATAAAGGGCTTTAATTGATTTATTATTTGGTACTCGGTTTTTACCTGATTCGTAAGCCGAATAAATGGTCTTGGACTATCTAAGAAAACAGAACAGACCTTACAGTGCAAGTACGTTCGTTATCTCATAATTAAAATGTCATTATCATTCTGCCGTATACAGAAATATTGCCAGGAACCCTATATAAAGATTTATTGCATCATTATTTGGTGAAGACCATCAAGTCACCTTACACCTAGTCCGTTAATTTTCATTTGTTCTTTCGTAGAATCAGAGATCTCTAAAAATAATTGACCGGATTAAAGAACAAGATGATACTCAGAAAGTAAATCAATTGAACGGAAGCGAGGTAGCCGTCATGGATTCAAGTATAAAGACTTTCATCGTCTGTGTAATAATAAAGGTCCAACAGTCGTTGCTATTCGCGTAAAAGATATTATTGGTTATTAGAATCCGTTTCAATGGGATACATTTACCGCTACCCAGTTTTTATAAATTTAATTCTGATGACATTCAAGCTATCAATGGAGTTCTAAGCAAGGATCGAGTGTGTGATGCTATGCTGATCATAGACCACTTTTTGGAAGTGATAATGATTTAGCTCTGGTTGGTCCCGATTCAATACTTCTAGTAATACTGTCCGAAATACTCCTAAAACAAAGCATTTTAACATTGTGGATTATGAAGTGTATCAATGGTGCAAAAATAATTATTTTCGCTCTCGTTTATATTAAGTTATGATAAAATTTGTTTTAAAAATCGACATATTTCTTAAAAACCAAGAAATTTAATTGAACTACTCATTACATTCTGATTAAATAAGATCTTAATAAGCGGAATTGGTTCAATTCATGCATATTTTTCAGCGTCTATTAAAAATTTTTAGGCTACATTTACAATAAAGAATAAAACTCACAAAATTTTATAGGTTTAACGTTAACAACTGATATTCGTTGGATTAACGTTAATGCTAACGTTAATGCTAACGTTAATTAATATTATCGTTAGCAATAAAATTGAAAAAAAGTAGCACGGAACTTTTGGGCAGAATACGTACAACGCACTTTTTGTGCACAATCACTCAATCAATCTTAAATACAGTATAGCGATAGCCATAAAAATTAGATAAACGCTCTGTCAGAAAATTACAAAAATGACAATTACAAATTTCGAAGAATTCATAATATCTCCTTTAACTTATCTTCGTTCATTACCACAAGTTAAATCCAATGAAACTTAATCTCAACAATTAATCATTAAACCCACTGCAGACATCAACATTGAGTTAAAAATCATAATTACAATTACGATCGGTAAATAGCTTTTATAAACTAGTCAATTGTTTATTTTTATCTCTTGTAATGTATGGGATTTCAATGTATGTTTTTTGGCATCTTATCCATCTCTTTTATTTCGATTGACAATCAGTATTTATTAAATCGGACGATTATTCGTTATTGCTTTCTTCCCAACATATCAGAGAAAAACCAAAAATTATTGCTAAAAAACGAATAAAATAAAAATGACACTCGGTAGCACTTTCTGATGCATGGGTGAAGCGAGAACTAAATAAAATGATTATCTTTAAGCCAAATATCGAACCTAGTTTTTGAAATATTGCTAAGGTAATTTCATATCAAAAATAAAACGACATTATCAATTTAAATAATAAAGTGAATTTTCTATTTAAAATTTTAGATATATTCATAGTTGGCAAGATCGATTTGCAAAATCATGGCGTTTCGACACTTTTAGATTTATTAGTCGCGGCTGATGAGCTGATTCTCGAGGATATGATTGGATATATACAAACTTATCTTCTCGAACACCATTCTAAAGATTTAACAGAAAGTTTTTCTTTAATCAATCAAATTGCATTTGAGCATAACTCTTTTACAAAGATTCATAAATTTTGCATAGATATCACATGTCAAAATCCAGCTACTATTTTTCAATCAACTGATTTTACCAAGCTACATGAATCAGCTCTAGTATGTTTATTCCAACGTGACGACCTAAATTTGAACGAAATCGACCTTTGGGAAAAGGTGCTTGAATGGGGAATCTCTCAAGTAAGTTGATACAGATGAAATTGATTTAACGATTCCAGCGGAAAAATGGACACGTGACATATAATCGTATCTCTCATCCGAACATCAACCTGGGGGGGGGGGGGGGATTAGTCAATCCATTTACTGTATTTTGCGTTTGTACTAACCGTAACGCTAACGGAAATTACCGTTACACTAAGGAAAAAACTTTTACGATTATCGTTATACCGATACGAACTGTGATAATCTGGAACTGTATATTCGTAACGGTACATGTATATCAATATTGTACAGTTCCCACAAAAAGTATCGCCCGATTTTTAAAAAATGAAATTTTCGATTTATTTCATTTCTGCTTTATATACATAAAATTTTTTTACCATTGACTAACATTACCCACCCTCTATATGACTTCAATATCACCTCGATTCCTTACGGCATCGAGCTCACATCCTACCCCAAACTAACCCATTAAATTTTGACTACACTTTCTTCAGAGCATGTTCACAATTTTTGAAAAGCTTTTACACTTTAGAATATTGTTTTACAATGGTTTCTATATGTTTTTTATGAAGCTAGGTCTGGGGGAATACGTTAATTGGTTGGTTCATAATCATTAATATTCCTATTTCGTGATCTTTTTAGAATTAGGGTTAGAGTTAAGCTGAAACGCCATATTTTTTCAAATGAAAAAGGATAAAGAATCTTCGGGTAAATTTTAAAAAGAATTTTTGTTGACAATGTCACGAAATGGCTCAGGTTGTCTTTGTTGGATTCTTGTAAATGTGCATTTTTTGGTTAAGAGCTTGTGACCTTCCAGACCCTGGTAACTTTCTTTTTTCCTATTTCTCTTATATTCGGCAAGAGACCATTATCCCGTCATCGAGTCACGGATCATTTTTCTTGCAACTTGTACGACACTCAAAACCCCAATCCAAATTACCCATTTTACCCTTGTCAAATGGATGCGGTGTGTTATATTTACAGCCAACAAATTTCGCCCAGTGTATGTTCAAAAGTCGAAAAAAAATTTTCAATAACAAAAAGGGGAAAACTGCCACATTTCTGTGGCGACTGTACATGTATTTATTATAATTTATGTTAGAGTTCATGTTTTAAAAAAAATTTTGTTATTTGTTATAGTCTTAGACTGGCATATCATCACGCAAAAAATGTCTTTGTTTACGTAGTTTCCAAATAAATATCAAAACACGCATAATGCTAAGCCATATCAAGTGAGATTTTTTAAAAGCATACTGTATTAAGAATTATCTCTCACGTCTATGAAATCCCTAAATAATCCCCGGATATTTGAAAAATAACCTTCCAGTTAGTTTTTGAAACCTTGTTACACACGATCTTGTAATTGATACATGTACTACCTTCCTTGCATTGTACATATTGATTTTCCCTATCGCTATCAGTTTAAAAAATTCTTTACGAGTCCCTGTTGTTTAAAAACACTGCCATTTCCATTCTCAGCTATTATTTGCGCTACACGCAGATTTTAGAAAATTACTCCCACGAAATGATTTAGCTTAACGATAACGATAGCGATAGCGATAGTCGCAAAAACATATAAAGTGTAGTTTTAAACTTTCTAAAAGAATCTTTTGATATTTGACAGTATAAAGCATTATATATACACAATGGGCACCAAAATCGACCTCGCAAAGGGAATCTTGCTCATCGCGGCACTCTTCGTAGCGATTGCAAACTCATTACCAGCCAATTATCGTACACCTTCTCGTTATCCTCTTTACCCTCCTGGACTAATTTACGACGGTGGTTATTTCGGTGGTGGTTATTTTGGTGGTGGTTATATTGGTGGTGGTGGATGTGGTGGAGATGTTTGCATACAATCGTGATGTTTGCAAAAGCATTTCGTCAAAGCGTCAAACTAGTAAATATATTTTTCAAATCCTTTAGAATCAGCTCATAAATATAAACTTTAATTAAATGATTTATTTAAACAAACTCAGGTCAAATTATTGGTCTATGGAAAATTAAAAAAATCATTGTATACACTATCCAAAGTGTTGAATTTAAGAAAAAATCGCTCTTAACAACAAAGTTACAAACGATGAAAATTTGTTATATTTTGACATTACATGTATTCTATAAATTGAATGATTTCAAGTTTATTGTAAAACCTAAAATTCGTAATAATTCGATGACTAGAATGAAATTACTACCAAAATGTTCATCTTATTGAGGCTAATATAATAAGACCAAAATTACAAAAACCTGGTCACTAATTATTGATAAAATAAGTTTGGAAACTGTTGCGCTCCTATTAGATTTATGCAAATTCATCACATTAATTGTTCTGATGCGTCGTCGGTGTATAAGTAAAATTTTTTTGTGAAATCCGGGTAGATCAAAATCGGGGCAGTGGTAAGTCATTTCTTTAGTTCCTTGCAGGCTTGTTCTTGATCCACCGTCCATACGTAACTAACGTCATTTTTTAGTAGTTTGAAGAGAGGCACGGCGACTTGGGAAAACCCTTGAATGAACTTCCTGTAATATCCTGCCAGTCCTAGGCGTGATTGAAATTGTTAACCGTACGCGGTTGTGAAAAATCCTGGACTTTCTCAACGGTCGTGGATCTGGATATATTCCGTCTTGGTTTACCACGTAATCTAAGAAGGGCAATTCACTCCGAACGAAATAACATTTACTACGGTTGAGCTTCAACCCAGCCACGCGGAATTTTTTGAAGATCAATCGTAAGTGGTTTATATTTTCATCGAAATTTTGCGAGTAAATATTAACGTCATCTATATACACCATAGCAAATCTCCACCGGTATTCTCTGAGTAAAGTGTCCATGGTTCGTTGGAAGGTTGCGGGGCCATTACACAACCCAAATGGCATTACATTGAACTTGAAGAGTCCCTCTTTTGTAATGAGCGCAATTTTCGATTTTACTTGCTTCGTCCATGGGAATCTGTCAATAGCCGGATGATAAGTCCATAGATGAGAATCATTTGGCTTCTCCAAGATTATCAAGCATTTCGTCGATCCGAGGTAGGGGGTATACGTCTTTTCTTGATAGTCGACACAGAGACGCTTTTTCTTGTTTTTCTTTAGGGCGATTAATACCGGAGACGACCATGCGCTGTTCGATGGCCTAATGATCCTGCTTTCAGCATTCTATTGATTTCTTCTCGAATGAATTCTTGGTCTGGAAACATGGCTCGGTACATTCTTTGATGGATGGGTGCGGCGTTACCAGTCTCGATAGTATGGTGAGTTACACTTGTTCCTAGTCGCATGAGTTCATTTCGAAGATGTCACTGTACTCTTCGAGCAATAATTCTAATTGTTGCTGTTGTGTTTTGGTTAGAGTTCGTTGCGGCACTGATGGTTTCTCTTTCTCAGAGCTTTGGAAGTACGCTTCCGCTGTCTCTTCGTTGGTAGATCCGAATCCTCGAGTTCCTCGACTGGTCTTTCCTAATGCTTCTCTCGAGTTCACCGGGATCATTCCTTCTATGTTCGCCAATTGGAGGAACACTGCTTGGGCGATTCGGTCGTTTCGTTTAATTATAATTATTCAGAATTACTCCGATATTTCCCACGTATCCTGCGTCGATGATTCCACCTTTAACCTCGATTCCTCTTCTTGCAAGTGATGACCTCGTCATCAACTGACAAACGGTTCCCTCGGGTACTTCGAACGCTATGTGCAACTCGATTACCATCGTTTGGTGTGGTTCGATAATAATTTCGGTTTCGCCCGGGTAGTAAAGAACGAAGCCGGCGTCTGTCTTGTGTGCTCGGTAAGGCTCCTTTCCTTTTCCTTCGTCGTCGTTGTAGACTTTAATCCAATAATTCATCTTCTTTTCTTCTATATCGTTTTCCCTCTTTTGGCTTCCTTTCGCCGTTCCTTTGCTTCCAGTCTTCGAAAGTAGTCGTATATTTCCGTCAAGGCGTCGGAAACTCCAGGTATTTCGCTCGTCTTGTACTTTCGATCCTTCTTGATTTTGTTCATTCACCTCCGTTGTTTCTTCTATCACCTTTTCCTTACCCTTCCTTTCAGTAGATACGGTCGTTGGTTCTCCTAACGCTGGCGGTGTGCACTCAGCACAATAATCCGAATCGCAAGGTATGTAACGTTGATGCATTTAGGCGCGCTAACTGTAGTCATGTCTCCGGAGGTTATTTGTTGGTATATCGATTGGAAGATCTCCGCGGCCGATGCTTCTTCGCTTCCATAATAATCGAAGCCTAATTCGGCTTCCACATCATCCTCTCGGATATATCGAGACAGGATAGCCTTCCCGATCTCGTTGATTGGGTATAGACTTCCAAAAGGAGTCCTCGTTCGCGAAGCTTCCTGATGGTCCCAGTATTTCGTTACCAACCTCCTCGATTGAAGTTGAAGACGCACTGGTGCACGTAATCACAAAAATATCGTTTCTCGTAGGATCCAGTAATGAACATTTCTCGGGCTTCCATTCGCATTTCGCATATTTCACAAGCTGGTAGGTGCAATTGTTTCTCTTGGACGCATTCGTCACAAGCCATTGCTTGGCGGCTTCCGGTTAAGTAGTATGTCCTAATATAATATTTGTCGATATATAGTCGACACTGCGAGCATTGTTGGATTTGACTCTCGGGGGGGTAAATATGCTGCTGCTTGGCTTCTTCGTAATCTCGGCATTTCACCGCGGTTCTATCCGCAGTATGCTTTGGATCGTCGTCCTTCTGAAAAATAAAATCATTTATACAAAATTAATGACAACATAACGATAACGATAACGATTTGAGGTTGTTATTCCATCGGGTACACAGACAGTGAAACTCGATACATGTATCGATAGCGGATTTGGTATAAATACATGTAACATTATCGTTATAACAAATTTTGTAGGGTTGTGTTAGTAGATGTGTTACTTGTGTGTTCGTTAACGTTAACTCGCAAATAAAGTGATTAATGATCAGCGATGCAAGTTTTTTTATTTTTTGATAAGATCTATATTTTTTGGCTAAGTCGATATATTATGTCTAAAAAGGCTTTTTCATGTCATTAGGCAGGAAAATTGTCAACCCCTGCTTATTATATTTTATAGTGATAATCTACACATGATTGACTGAATCAACAGAAATTTTGTGATATCGATATACACAACCGCGTCAAACCACATGGAAAACAGAAGACCTTTTCGGCAATTATTCCGATGCTTATTGCCCATATTAACTCAACATAAATTTTTAGAACGTGAATTTTTTACCTTTCTTGGGTACTTTAATTTATCTCCTAAGATATTGATTAATAAGGAAATCCATTAAATGTTCAATTTTGGTTTAAATATTAGCTTTTCCACTTACACTATTTAATACCACAAAAATGGCATCATTAACGATAAACGTTTCTTTTGACAACAGGTCTGGTAGGTTTGGTCAGCTATAGCCTTTTAACAAAGCTTGCAGCTGGTGATATTAGATGCTTTTTTTAACATTTATTTAGAATTGTCAGACGAGCTAGCAGACCAAGCATCCTGCTATGGATTACCATATGGAATCTTTGGGCTAGTCTGCTGGACTCTGTTTTTTTACTCCATCATTTTAACATACGCGAATTGTCCTCTGTGTTCACCATGTCGGTGGGGTGAACCTTACAAAGAACAAAAATTGTCTCTGGCGACTTTTGCAACTGTTTTAACAGTAGGACCAGTCGTCTTTACATGTATCCGTTGCCGTGGAGAATGGATAATGACACTTATGACACTTGGACAGCTTACTCCATGGAGTTTCAAGATAATGAATGATGGTTTTAGAAGTGACCAAGCGAACCAAGCGACCAACCTAATTAAATTTTATAAAGTTTTTGGTTCGGTTATGACAGTTTTACTATCTATTGCTGGTTGGATGAATTTAATATGGTTAACTATTGGACTATTAAAAACAGAAGAAACATTTAAACTTTGGATATGGTCAATATATACAGCAGCATTGTTAGCAATAATAGCAATGATATTGCTCTGTGTCGCTGATCGCAAGCGAAGGGGAGATCAGTGGGAGGGAGAGCGGGGTCTCATTATCACGATGGCATACCTTGCAACAACTTTATATATGATAGCATTACATATAATTCTTGCTCAAATTTCTGGTAATTGGGGTGGGATTGCCCCTACAGGGGCTGGGTTAGGATCAGCAATTATTTTTTGCATCGGAAAACGTCTGCTATTTTTAGATTGGTAAAATTAAGTTTGTGAATGCTTAAAAAAAATTATGTGCCGCCACGTTTAATATCCGAAATGATCATGTGTGCTTATTTTGATGTTTTTAGCCCATAAATAATCTTTTGTTCAACTACAAAGTTGAATTAACTTAACAATGTAACTGTAACGATATCGATATACCGATAGAAATAGCATCGCGATTTAACGATATCATGTTTTTGGCGAAATTCATCCTCGTGAAATCAGTCATCGCTAAATCGAATAGTACATGTATATAACGTTTAATGTATGTTGTGAGCGTAACGGTAATGTCATTTTTCATGTATAAATCGACTTGCAAAAACAATAACGACTTCCACATATAAATCATCGTTTTTTAAATAACACACTGTACTGCCATAGAATAAATTCAAAGATGGCAAGTGTTCACAACACTCATGATTGTAGTAAGTGTTTTCAGACAGCAGGAACATTTACTACAATCTTGAGTATTGTGAATTGCAGCAATCCAGTTCTCGACAATCTTTTTAGCAAAAATAAAGATATCGACAGAACTAATAAACGAATGCACGAAAATTGATGAATATGAATATTTCGAATGGATCCTTTTTGAAAGATTCACCAATGTTGAATATCTTGTAGAAGGAGGGTTTGGAACAATTTATAAAGCAACCTGGTTGAATGATCATTGAAACTGATGTTGCGTTGAAATTACACAATTCAAAGCAATTATACATCTGACTTTATAAACGAGGTAAAATGAACACCTTTTAAAGTGTGAGTAACTTGATTTTCAATATAATTGACTTTTTTAACATTAGATTCAAAGTGCAGGGATGGCTTATTAGTTAGTGTGTAATAACTAAAGATCCACATTCAAATGAATACTCGATAGTGCAGAAGATGGAATCAATATGAATTCCCAACTACCAAAAATTAACTTAACTTGGAGAGATAAATTTGAGGAATTTGCTGGAAATATTTTTAATAAGTTAAAATTTGAAATGAAAAAAAGTGTTGTTAATATATTTAGTCGGAACATTTATAAAACTTGCAATATATTGTACATAAGATTTTATATAATTTAAACAAGTATTCATTTCATTATATATTATCGAGTAAAACCATTAATTTTGAGAGCACAAAATGTATGAGAAATCTATGCTGTATTAATTAAATAATTTCCTTGATCAATTTCTCACTAATATACGGTTGCGTATTCCACACCGCCAATACAACTGTAGAAATTTGCTCTGTTGTCGGAGGAGGCGACCCAGATTGGATTGATTCATTAATCGTCTTTTTTAGTTTGTATTCTTGCTCAAACATTGATAGACATTGAACAATACGCTGTATTTTTTCTTGCTATAGTAATAGAGATAATTTATTTGGTTAATTAAACATATGACGAAGCATAGAGTATAGAAAATACTTTTGGTACTTCTATTTCTTGTTCCTGTTGTTCCAACTGTTTGATCATTTGATTATAATCAGTGTACATAAGATCTAATTGGTTGCATACTTTATGAATAAAAAAATTATTAAAAATGTATTTATTAAAATAATAAAATAAAAAAAACTTACACACATTCCTTTATTAAATTACAAAGTTCTGTTTTAGCTCCGTTCTCAATAAATATTTGTTCGTCTTTAATTGTAGATTTTGATTTATTAGAACTATGATCTTGAATATAAAGTTGCTCCAACATCTCGCTTCCCTTTTGTGTGGTTTTGTTCCATTGGTTGATTCTGTACATAGGTACGTTGGAAAAAAAATAGGTTTTAGAGTTTAAAGGCAGTTATTTATTTATTTTTGGTTACCTTTCTTTAAGTTTTTCAGTAAATTCATCCATATTTATCATTACGTATATTTGTTTCTCACACATGTGATAGATGTTATACATGTACAATAATGAACATAAAAATCATGTGTAAATCGATCAATTGATCAAAGAGTAACGCGATATAAAGACCTCTTGATATAACGATAACGACCATTAAGTAATGAACGTTTTAAAAATGTTATCATGTGGGCGGAAGTGTTCATAACGATAACGATGACGATAACGATAACGATAACGATAATATCATATGCTAGTACCAAAATAGCTAAATATATTGTACATCATCGAATAGCGATCTAGTATCTTTGAATTTTAATTTGACACTACCAACCCCTAAAGAGAATTTGAAATGCTAATTCTTTGTATAAGACAATATAATCAGTAATAACAAAATAACAAAGATTTTTTATTTTGTTCTTTTTATAAATAAGAAATACCAAAATGTCAAAAATTAAAAATAACAAAAATACAAAAATCAAAATACTTAATCAATATTTTGTTTAGCATAATATGATATAAAGTGCATAAATTATTTTGTTCAGCACAATATGATTCAAAGCCACTTGTATATAAGCTTTGATATGTATAATTGAAAGTAGAAAAGGTAAATATTGTTTGGAAGAATATTTTGTTATAAGAGAATTTTATTTTTTATTTGCAATATGTCAAGTTAAGGCTCAAACAGCATCTTTATTTATATATTTTTCAAAAATATAATTTCAAATATTAAGATTATTTAATCAATATAAAAATGATAAAAAGAGAAATAATGAATAATAAATAATAACTAATAAAAATAATAAAATAAATGATGAGATAAATGATAAAAAGTGATAAATAATAAAATAAATGATAAAAAGTGATTAATAATAAAATAAATAATGAATAAATAATAAAAAGTAATAAGATGAAATAAATAAACTTTTTTTGATTAACAAATAATAATAATTATTATTATAGCATATATATCAAACTTTATTATAATTTTTGCATAAATACAAACTGGTAAGTTTAACTTTTTTTTCATGTGATAATTATTATGGACTAAGACTTTTTTTGCTTGTTTGAATAAAATAGATACTATTATAATATTTATCCAAAAAATATTAATATTTGTTATATTATCTAATTTGTATTTCAGAGTAATAGATTATTATACTTTTACAAGTATAGAAAAGATTTGTTGAGTTTATTGTGCTTGAAATAATTCTTATTCAACTTTCTTAATCCAATCTTTTTTGATTTTGAATTTAGTTTAGTATAATTAATATTGCTAAATGACAATTTGATCTTTCAGATTATTATAATATTATTAATATTTCTAATTAATTATATAGAAATATTTAATATACTAATATATCTTATTTAATTCTTTCTAATCAAATATCTATTATTGTATTTATATATATTTTTATTAAAATTTTTTATTAAGTTAATAACAATTTTTCAAAATAAATTTTTTTCATTAAATTTTTATATCTTCTTAATATATTAAATATTATTAATAAATTTAATACTTTGAATAATTTAGAAAGATACATTTTTAATTTAACATATTTTATTTTTTTCTAATAGTATTAATTGGTGTTCAATGTTTTTTTAACTTAATTATAAGATTATTATTATTTTTTAAATTGGATTTATAATTATATAAGTTTCAGCTTCATCCAATTTCAGCTTCAGCCACCACAATAAATATTAAATAAAATTTTTTGTCTAAATTTTGTTCTTTATATTCAGATTACTTTTATCTGAATTCTAGTTTTTACTTTTTTTTATTTTTTTTCACTGTTATTATCAGTAAAATTAACTTATTAATTATAAATATATTTTATAAATACTCATTTTTTTTGTTCTTTCCAATTAAGATAAGCAAATTATTTTTTATATTAACTTTGATATTAATTTTGTTAATAAAGTTTATTTTTATAATAATAATATTATATATAACTGAAATAAAAACTATCTACAAAAAAAGAGTCTCTTTGAAGTTTTAAAGATTTCTATAATAACTTGTATGCAAATTGATATTAAAAGATAAAAAAAGAGTAAAAATTATATTATTATTATAAAAAAAGAGAATTTTTCAAAATCAAACTAATAATTATAATATAATAAAACTTATTAATATAATTTATTTAACAAAATAATTAAATAATACTTATTAATATGATTTGAATAAAAAAATTAAAATTAAAATAATAATAATAAAAATTCAATTAATAATTTATTTAGAATAGAGAAATATCTATTATTTATAATTATTCATAAGATTTAATAATAATTAGAATAATAAAATAATAATATTATTACACATTTTTCATTAATTGAATAATTAGCTAATAAATGCAAACAAGAATTGGAAGAGATAATTAAACAAATATAAGAAGAATATGAAAATAATATCTAAGTTTTATACTAATTTCTACTATAATTGTTATAATTTGAGAGGAAAAAAGGTTAAGATAATAGTATTTCAATTAGATATAGTATTTCAAATAACTGTACTAACTAATTAATTTACAAATTATTTAATTAAAGTGATTAACAAATTTAATTCACTAATTAAAATATCAAAATAACAAAAGTAATGAAGACTCTTTTACTTCATTCTTCTTACAAGAAAAAAATTATGATATCTTTAGTTAAAAAATTTCAAATAATTTAATTATTACTAAAATATCAAAAAACTAATCTATAACAAAATATTAATTTAATAATTCAATATCAATATTTTAATCAGCTCAATACAATCTAAAAGCTATTTGTTTGCAAGATTTGAAGTATACTTTTGAGAGGGAAAAATGAATTATTTAAGTGTTAAAAGATATTTGTTTTATTATATTATTTATTCTCAAGTTCTGACATATTGAGTTAAAGCTCAACTATAATTCATATTTATATATTTTCTTTGAAATACAAATATAATATTAAAAACAAGAAAAAGATATAAAAGATAATTTACTAACTAAAAATAGAATTCCAATATACTAAATATGAAAAGTAGAGAAATAAAGAAGAAAAAGTATAAATCTCAAAGAATTTTGATTGATTAAATTATATCTTTTTAAAATAAATAAATATTGTTACAGTTGTAACATAAAAATCGTTAATTCCAAAAATAGTCGAAAAACATAAAATATTTAAAAATAT